ATGAGGCGTTCTAAAGAATGACAAAGCTATAGAAAGTAATTTGTTTAAAATTAATAACAAAAAATGCAAAACAAAAAACAAAAAAAAACGCAAGAAATAAAAACTGAACTTAACAATTCATTATCTAATTTCCGTGGTTTTTTAAAATTATTTTTACAGACTTGTCAGATATGAATTTAATTTTCACAATAAAAGAGTTAAGCACGTTTTAAAAAACTCGATAACTTCAGGCCATAAGTGAGTGAGCCAATTTCTGTGTAGTTTGATGTCTGACGATGGACATCCTTTGGAATAAAATAAGTTTAATTGCTAAATTAAATTAAATTAAACTTCAATACTTATATATATATATATATATATATATATATATATATATATATATATATATATATATATATATATATATTATATATTATATATATATATATATATATATATGTATATATATATATATATATATGTATATATATATATATATATATATATATATATATATATATATATATATATATAATATATATATATATATATATATATATATATATATATATATATATATATTGTGTATTTGACATTTTATTTAGCGGGGGGGGGGGGGGGATTATCTACTTCTGCCTCTGCAAGAAGGAAAGCAAGAAAACAAGAGAGACAGGTGTAGAAATAATTTTATCGTTTGATTATTTCTCCCCGACAGAGCCCCGATGATTCTCACACTAGCGACAGTGTCGACCACCAATCGAACAATACAAAGGTGAACGGCATGAGGAACGTAGAAGTTTGAACAAAGGATTATTTACGAATAGCGTCGTTCTTTACATAAAAGTGTTCGTTTCCTAGAAGAAATACTTAAACGGTAAAACTTCACAATGGAAAACTGCTCAAACAGAAAAAACACGCAAATACCAACTAATTATACTAAAACACTTAAACTTTGTCTAATGTCGTAGAAAAGTGTTTTATTATGCAACATTTCTTTGTTAATGTCTATAAGTGCTCGATTTAAGAAAACAAAAATGCCCTTGCGCACTTTTTTTGTGCGTAGTTTTCCATTGCGCGATTTTCCGTTGCTTATCTTTTCAATCACCGAATATTCTTGTCAGTTAAAACTCGCAAAATGAAAACATGTGTTGGGATTAGTTGTCGTATTTAAAAAAGGACGTTGTGTTAATTAAATACATAGAGAAATAGCTGTACTTGCTAATCTATCAACGATTGGAATAGCAGCTAAAGAAATATACAAATTCGGCGACATGAATTAGCATATATCACATACATTGATAAATCACAAACAAATATCAGCTTTAGAGTTGCATTGATGCTGTTTTAAGATTCGTATTAACTTATTTCTACCTCCACTCGATCACAATGAACAATAGATTACTTAGGAAATTGTGGCTGGACATTAGCTTAAGGCAGGAGTCGGCAACTTGCGGGTCGCGAGCCGCATGCGGCTCTTTTGATATCAAGATGCGGCTCTCCAGCTCCATGAATAAATACTAATAATCTTAATGAACAAATAAAATATTTGAAATAAAAAAAATTTAGTGGCTCTTTAAAAGTCTGGAAGAAATACTGGCTATTAACAATGCAGTAATTGTATTTAAATATTAAAATAATAAAACCAAAATATTATTTTTTCTAACATTTTTAAAAATACTTATGATAGTTTCTTCTTCTTTGTTCTTAATTTTAATGTTGGCCAATTAAGTATCGGCGTTAACTTGTTATGACTTTGAATTTAGCCTGCTTTTCTTTTTTTGGTTCGTTTCCATAAATGGCAGTCACGCTTTTTTAGACGATTCCCCCCCCCCCCCCCCCCACTTCCGTCATACATCGTCACAAAAAGCCAGACCCCCCCTCCCCCTAAAAAGATGTCACACCTCAGCCTACAACCCCCTCAAAGTTGCAGTTGAATTTTTCTTAAAATATGATATTTTTTCAAAATCTTGTCTGAAATCTGTCAACATAGAGTATTTTTATCTATTCCTACTACAATTTATTAAAACAGTTTTCTAATAAAATACTTAAAAAAAAAACGTTTTAAAAAACCACGTTTTTCTTGTGGACTAAAAAGTAGAAAATAAATTTTTCTTTTGTGCTTCCTCGAGCTGTGCAGGTTCTTGTGATGACTGACAAAAAACGTGGGTACGTTCACCATCAAATTTCCCGACCCATCTGCCCGACCCACGTTTTTTGTCAGTCATCACAAGAACCTGCACAGCTCGAGGAAGCACAAAAGAAAAATTTATTTTCTACTTTTTAGTCCACAAGAAAAACGTGGTTTTTTAAAAAGTTTTTTTTAAGTATTTTATTTTCTCCTTTTTAGTCCGTTGCTACACATGAAAAACGTGGTTTTTAAAAAAGTTTTTTATATAGTTTATTTTCTACTTTATCTAATGACTTGATTAAGTATGACTTGACTAAGTGTTTATAAATACACGGACTAAAAAAATCTTGAGCGACCAAGATTCGAACCTGGGTTGTCGCGGCCACAACGCGAAGTACTAACCACTATACGATCACGGCCAGCGCGCTCACATCGATTGGGGCCGAAGTGACTGTGTCAATAGGCCTCCAGTCTTGTCGGTATCTTTAGAAATCATGTCCTCAATTTTATGGTCCTTGGGGCGTAATTAAATTAAGCTAATTACGGTCTCTAATTGCTAGTTTTTATGATTGCATCTGAAATTGTTAGGCGAAAGTAGCATGCATGCCAAATTTCAGATCTCTAGAGCAATCAGAAGTGGGCTAATTTTCGATGTCAATTTTAACAACAAACAAATCCACACACAAACGCGAAGCTGAGTTAAGAAAAACGTGTTAAAATTCGTTTTCTAACATTGCTTTTTTATAATGCAAAAGTGTGATGTCGCACCATCTGAACCCCTCCCCCCCCTCCTCATCACATACCGTCACAAAATTACGCCCCCCCCTCCCCCCTACGATTGTGACGTCATTTATGGACGACCCCCTTTGCAGTTTGATTTTTGAGTCGTCTCCCCTAGCTATCAAGCCCACTTGTGAGTTTTCAGTATAGCTTTATTAGCTCAACTACGCCGTAATTAAGAAAATTAAGTAAAAAAGCTTTGTCGAAAACAATGGGTAGTTAGTGTGGCGAAACTCCAGGAAAAAAGCGAAAAAAAAAATATAAAAACATATTGAAAGTATGAGAACCACTAATCCTGAATATTCTCGAAAGATCGGATTAAAGAAAAATAATTTCAAATACAAGGCCAGTTATTACAATTCAATGGGCTTTGTCATTTGAAAACATTCAAACGTTATTTTATACGTTTGTTTTGAATGAAACTCAAAAAGCAAATTTTAAAATCATTCGCACCATATGTTGTCAAAATAAAACATAATCTGTTATTCTCTAGACATATTCTTTGTTTGCTATAAGTCGATATAGTATTAAATGTTCAACAATATTATATTCAGCTAACATATAAGATAAAAGGTTTTTGTTTAAAACGATGAAATGGATATTTGGGTATGTGTATTGAAACTAACATATTTTTCATTATCAGTCAACATTTAGTTAAAATTGATAATATTAGCCCATACAAAAATTAGTATATTTTAAGCATAATATAATATATTCACACCAATACATTATTTTTAAAACATACACACTTACATTTTTATAAACTCAAACCCACCCACTCACACCCATACTTATATATATATATATATAATATAATATGTGAATATATATATATATATATATATATATATATATATATATATATATATATATATATATATATATATATATATATATATATATATATATATTATAGGTGAGAGTGAGTGTGTGAATATGGTGTCTTGAGTTCCTTTTTTATTTTTACTTTTAACACATACGTGAATCTGTCAAGATATCTAGTTCATGTATGTATCTGTCACAAAACCAGTATATCACGTTGAACAGCTTTATGTGAAATGATATAAACAGGTATATCATATGTGAAACGTATATTTCTAGACATCTCTATTATGTGTAGGTGTTTTTGGCAAATCAAGTATGTCTGTGCGAATTGATCAGTGTATATTAATCTTCAGTTCACATCAAAGAAATATTTCTATACATTTTTATTACACATAATCTATGTGATGTATGTCACCATGACTTTGTGTGGAGAAGAACCAACAGCTGGTTACCTTGAAGGAAAGATGGATTTCGCCCACGGATTTATATTATGAGACCAAATCAAAAACATCAATTACCAGTGAAAATAAAATATAAACAAAGAAAATAGAATAAAGAATCTGTTTTAAATCAATTACTATTAAAAGATTTTGTTCTGGGGCTTGTAGGGTTTAAAAAGCGATGAAAAATATGACACGCACACGCACGCACGCACCCACCCACGCACGCACGCATATATATATATATATATATATATATATATATATATGAATATATATATATATATATATATATATATATATATATATTCATATATATATATATATATATATATATATATATATATATATATATATATATATATATATATATATATTACTTTATAATATTTGTTTTAATTTTATATGTGTACGCCTATGTATGCTTGTGTTATCTGTAGGCTTCTGGCATCTGTAGGCTTGGGGTACCTGTAGGCTTGTGTTATATTTAGGCTTGTGTCAACTGAAGGCTTGTATCAATTGTAACTCAGAGAACGAACATTAGTCCCTATTGCGCGTAGATTCATACAGGCGTATCCTTGTAGGTTTACATGAACAGGTTTAAGAAATTTTATTATGCCATGCGACAATCAAAATTCGTTTGAAGTAGATTTGATCAAACGTTTGTAAATATCGTTTATGTTTCAAGAGTAATTAAAACACGTTTGTTCTAAAGAAAGTCTTTGTGTGGGGAAAACACTTTAATCCTCCCACATGTATCGGAGGAATGTTGTAAAACCCGTGAGTGGGCGTGAGGCTTTGTCTTTAAAACGTGTTTCAAACCGCGGCTCGTCTAAACACCCACTCATCTCGACTTGAAGAGTTATCTGTTGAGCGGTTCGTCTAACTTACGAAGGTGAGTGATGCGTCTCTGTTTCAAAATAGGTTTAGAAATGAATGTTTCTTCATCATTTATGCAAATGATTTACTTTTGTTTGTTTTGAATTAGCTCTTTTTCAGACTTTTTCTGAAATTTACCAATTAATTGTCTTTACTTACTGAAGATATATGAACATTATTTTTAACTTTTATTATTGCGCATGAATTATAGCTATAAATTATCATAATTTGTATAAATCATCATTTAATTTTTGTTTTTTGTAGGCTATTAGACTATTTAGACTAAAGATACAATTAGTAAATAAATTAGCTTTTCTTTCGTTCACTTTATTAAAATACCTTAATACTAGTATGGCTACAACTGCAAGTTTTTTGTAGAGTTAGGATAGTTAGACTGCCCCGAGATACGTTTTAATTACTAAAGCTCTGAAATATATACTAGCTGCAGCACCAAGGAAGCTACATAATCCTATCAGTTTAAATCTAATTCATTCACGTAAACTTATTGTAATAGTTTAGATCTACATATTTTTGCGCTTTTTGCAACAAGCAATTTTTCCATAACTAATACCTAACTGAAATTTACTAAATAATTTCTCTACATTTTTACTTTCTCGTATATACGAAGTATAGAGAAAGTCTTGTAATCGTGCAAAAAAAAAAAATCGAGATTTTTGCAAATCTCGACGTTTTACATCTCACTGATACGGAAAAACATAATTTTGCAATCTTGTCCGTATGTCTGTGTGTCTGTGTGTGTGTGTGTGTGTCCGTGTGTAAACACGATAACTTGAGTACCGTTACAGCTAGGTTGATGAAATTTCATATACAAGTATTTTATCAAAATCGTAGATCCGTATCAACTTTTGAGCGATTTCGGATAACCGGAAGTGGTACTTTTTTTACTTTGAATTTTTCAAAAGCCTATAACTTGAGTACTATTTCAGATAGATAGATGAAATTTGATATGTAAGTAAAAGATCTAATTCTCTACCTTCTGTCAAATTTTGAGAATTTTTCGTTGACCGGAAGTACTTATTTACGCTACTTCCGATTTCTCAAAAAACTAATGTAAATTTTTTAAAAGTACTAATAATATTGCGCACTATTATGCGCTTTTTTATTCGCGTTCACTTGGTGTGCAATTAATTTGTCTACGAGATTTTATTCTATTTTTAAAACTTTAAGTATTTAAAATGGATTAAAAATCATGTCCAAAGCCCGAGTTCCCATCCCCTGTTATTTTATATAAGAATATTCGAGAAAGTTTAGGGGAGATCACTCCCGGTTTATTTCGTATGAAATTTAAATGCAAAAGTTAGTTTGCATCGAATTTTAAACTATTTTCTTACTATTTTTTATTCTCATTGTGTCGTTTACAAAGTTTAATAATTATTAACTTGAAATGCTACTTTTTTTTCACTACGGAAGGTTAAAAATTTGAAAATGAAATTTTGATACAGAAGTAAGTTTGTAACAAATATTTTATTATTGCAAAATTTTAGAGTAACGTTGTGTTGTTTACACATATATACAAAAATGTAAACCTATAATTAAAATGCAACTTGTTCTTACTTAAAAAATTTAAAAAGTTATTCTCTAAAACCACAATTTAAATACAAAAGAAAGTTTGAATCAAATATGTTATTATTTTACTACGAGAAAAATGGCCCGTTGAGGAAGGGTACAACGGGCGCTAGGCTGATAGTGCTGTCTCTTTTCTCTAAACTAAAACCAACCCACCCCCCCCCACACACCACCCCCACCCCACCCCCCCACCCCCCACACACCACCCCCACCCCCACCCCCACCACCCCCAACCCAACCCCTCAACCCCACACACCACCCCCCACCCCCACCACACACCACCCCCACCCCTCACCCCCACACACCACCCCCTCCACACACCGCCCCCCCCACCCCCCACCCCCCCCCCCCCCCCCCAAAAAAAACATGTCTACCGTCCCATTCAACGAAATATAATTATATACTTTTTCCAGTGTCCGCCCCCTCCCAGAAAATTCTACCCCCGCCCCCGAAAATTTCAAGTACCCCCACCCCTCTCCGGGGAGGAAAAAGTCTGAAAGAAGCACTGAAACCAACCCACCCCCCACACACCACCCCCCCACCCCCCCCACACACACACCACCCCCCCACCCCCACCCCCCACACACACCACCCCCCCCCACCCCTCCACCACCCCCCACCCCCAAAAAAAACATGTCTACCGTCCCATTCAACGAAATATAATTATATACTTTTTCCAGTGTCCGCCCCCTCCCAGAAAATTCTACCCCCGCCCCCGAAAATTTCAAGTACCCCCCACCCCTCTCCGGGGAGGAAAAAGTCTGAAAGAAACACTGAAACCAACCCACACACCACACACGCTAAATGTGTCGACGTCATATTTCGTTTTTCGAATTACTGTGCATGTTTTTATTTTGCTTGTGTTTTCTCTAGAGCGTTCTTGTCAGACAAAGCGTTCTTGTCAGACAGAGCGTTCTTGTCAGATAGACAGACAGCGAAACTATTAGTATTAATTTTGTAATAATTATGTGTTGTTTATAATGTTTAATAATTATTTCCTTAAATGTTTCTTTATTTTACTAAAAAAGTTTCAAAACGTTTTTTGCACGAAAATGTAACTTTGTTTATATTATTTCCTTAAATGTTTTTTTTTATTTTACTAAGAAAGATTTTAAAAATTATATTGTATGTTAAAATGTAACTTTGTTTTGCAGTGAAAATGCAGGTGGCAGCTTGTCTTCTCGTGCTGGCTGTGATGTATGTTGGGGCTGGTGCCAACACATGCAGCAGGTCAAACTGGTGGTCCATTTTTGACACGGCCGGCTCGTCCAAATGTGAGAACGAAGGAGACTTCATCGCTGGTTTTTTCAGGAACCTGATGCCAAATCCGTCGTCCAACGACTACATCTACGACCTCGAGGAGGCTGAGTGCTGCACGAGGAACCCGCCGTGGAACAACTCCAAGACGATGGTGGTCAACGCCGACTGGTGGACCTTGTTTAATAACAACAACGTCTGGGTCACCTGTCCTGCTGGGTATTTCCTGAATGGGCTCTACAGGACAGGGGGGTTCGGTGGGTGGCTGAGCAACATAGAAGAAGGCAGATGTTCTAAACCAGCCGGGCACCCGGCGTCGTACGGCCACTGTTATGATATGGACATTTCAAGCTGTTTCGATGATAAAAATTTATGCCGGTGTAACGCTGATTACTACGTGACTGGGCTGTATAAAAGTTCCTGCGACAAACTGTATTGTTTAGACGGGTTGAGATGCTGTACGACAGTCCCCGTTCAAGAGGATGTGGACAGTTTTGATGCATTGAAGACCCGGGTAATGGAAACGACACAGATGGAATTGGCATACCTGGCGCATTATCTTGGTTTTGCTTGGTCTTACGGCTGTAACGCTCACTTCGTCGGGGAAGATTTTGTGCGGAACTACGACTCGTGGGAGGCGCAGAGGAGTTCACGGTGCACGGGGTACAGGAACGATCTGAGACTGAACATCACCTACGGGAACTGGAGCTTCGAGATCAAAGACATCAGGTACGGAGCCCCGCTTATACAAGAGATGCAACAGCCGGAGCTGATGGACTCGGGAGTGTTGTACAACGACGAACCCACCCCAGCGACCAAGACCATCATCAGATCTGTGAATAACTCCAAAGTCTTCACACACTCCGCTTACAGCGATTGGCGAAACTTCCCAAACTATACCATTCAGCAAAGTTCCTCGCCGTTTACCTATGGGAATCTTTTCGGGCAGCAAGGATACATCTTCAATGGCACCAGCAGTATGAACGAAGCTGAGGAAGAGAGAACCAACACCTTTTCCGTATCCTCATCCAAGACGCTCCTACCCAACACCGCAGCGAAATGGTACTTCTTCGTCGTTAAAACGCGAACGGCTTTGACCTACACGGCCGAAATCGTTGTCAAATTCTCCACAAATTTCAACAGCTTCCTACGCGGGGTGGGTTCTGCCACCGCAACAAACTACCACACCACTTACTTCAACACCAGCGATCGTCCAAACTACAACTACACATTCGGCGATGCCAGCACCCCCTTCTACAAAGCACTGAAGCAGCAAAGCTACGGCAACTTGGCGCCCTGGCTGTGGAACGATATGAAAATGGCTTTTCCGGAAGCGTCGAAACTAATCAACGATTTGACCAACGAGGACAGGTACGTGTTCAAGATCAAGGGCCGGTTCGAGAACATCCTAGGAGCCCATGCTGAGTTCAGGTGGGACGACCAGACCCCTGTTTCAGCTGTTGATGCCACGCAACCTGTCAGCACCAATGGCACCAGCCAGGCCAAGATGAACGTCCCCGTCATCGTTCTTTAAATTTGTTTCTTAAAGTTTCTTTAAAAAAAAAAAGCCCGAATTATGTTTACCGTTTTTCTTCTTCTCCCCTTCCCCACTTAAAAAACTTTTTAAACTTTCAAACTTTAGTAGTCTTTTTAGTTTTACTTTGTACCTATTTTTCACCTCCTGTCTCCACTTAATTAAACACATTTGATACTTTCAATCTTTAGTCTGTTTATTTAAATTATGTTCCAATATTTATCTTCCCCTCCTCCGCTTAATTAAACAAATTTATGTTGTTTTCAAGTTTTAGACTGTCCATTTTTACTTTCTCGTATATACGTAGTATAGAGAAAGTATTGTAATCGTGCAAAAAAAAAAAATCGAGATTTTTACAAATCTCGACGTTTTACACCTCACTGATACGGAAAAACATAATTTTGCAATCTTGTCCGTATGTCTGTGTGTGTGTGTGTGTGTCTGTCTGTGTGTCCGTGTGTAAACACGATAACTTGAGTACCGTTACAGCTAGGTTGATGAAATTTCATATATAAGTATTTTATCAAAATCGTAGATCCGTATCAACTTTTGAGCGATTTCCGATAACCGGAAGTGGTACTTTTTCCACTTTGAATTTTTCAAAAGCCTATAACTTGAGTACTATTTCAGATAGATAAATGAAATTTCACATGTAAGTAAAAGATCTAATTCTCTACCTTCTGTTAAATTTTGAGTAATTTCCGTTGACCGGAAGTAGTAATTTACGCTACTTCCGATTTCTCAAAAAACTAATGTAAATTTTAAAAGTACTAATAATATTGCGCACTATTATGCGCTTTTTTATTTCGCGTTCACTTGGTGTGCAATTAATTTGTCAACGAGATTTTATTCTATTTTTAAAACTTTAAGTATTTAAAATGGATTAAAAATCATGTCTATAGCCCGAGTTCCCATCCCCTGTTATTTTATATAAGAATATTCGAGAAAGTTTAGGGGAGATCACTCCCGGTTTATTAATTCAAGAAATTCTATATTTAAAACTATATATTTTCGTTTGAAACTGGCTAACAGATTTTGCATTTTATGTTTTCTGTCGTTAATTCAAGTATATTGTGTTCACTGTTTTATCCACAATAAAAACGTTTGTTTAGAAGTCTTGTCTTTCATTAAGTGATTGACTTTTTGTGCTTTATTATAACCTCAACTTCACTCCTCATATATACATATACTATTGTTTGATTTTACTTAAAAGAATATTGGCATTTAAAAAAAAAATCATTTGAAGAAGAACTAAAGTTGAATCAACAACACTCATTAAAGAATTAATTAACTCTAGAATATACACTATATTAAACCCCTTCGTTGCGATGATAGAAAGGACGGCGTAGTCGGATGGTAGAGCAAACGTCTGCTGGCCCTACGGTCTCGTGATCGGGCCCCGGACTCAAGTTCGAAGGACGTTCTTGAGTCGACCCATCTCTGATGGGTACCTAACTCATGTTTGGGGAAAGTAAAGGCGACTGGGCATAGTGCTGACCATACTATCCATTCATATTCCGCTTTAACTTAAACAGGTAAACTCTACTTCCACATGAATCGTAGTTCATAAGAGTAGTTTACTAGTTTTGATGATCGTAATGAATTTTTAATTAAAATTTGAAGTTTTCTTCTCAGTAGCAACTAAAAATATCGTATGGGACAAAGAGGTTGCTTTGGTTTAAGGTTACGATTTTTATTCCAAGATTGGTTTTCAGAAATAGACATACAAAGATTGCACAGTATTAAATTGATGTTAAATAGAAACTGGAAAGAAAGATAACTATGCTAAGACAAGCAACAAAAGTAATATTTTGATTATCTCCCTGCTTTTATTACGTTTTACATTTCAATCGTCAGTTTTTGATATATGCAAAAACCCATCCATAATTGTTTTTGATAAGTATCGTCAATAACTAACATGCACCTCCAAAAGACAAAAGTCTAAACTAAAACAACTCGTATTATGATTTTTATTCCAAGATTGGTTTTAAGTTTTAAGAAATAGGGCTACAAAGATTGCACAGTATTACATTTTTATTAAATATAAACTGGAAAGAAAGATAACTATGCTTAGACATACAACAAAAGTTATATTTTGATTATCTCCCTGCTGTTTAAATTACGTTTTTACATTTCAATCGTCGCAAATATTTGATGAATACAAAAACCCATCCATACGTTTTTGTAAGTACCGTGTAACTAACATACACCTAAAAAGTTATGAATTTTAAGTCATTAAGCTAAATAATTTCAGAACTAGAAAGGTTCTTATTTATTTGATAAATACACCCTCTCAACAAAAGCTAGGTGGAAGTTTTACCCCCCTCCCCACTTTAATTCAGATCTAGGGTTAGTTGGAAGTTTTAATCCCCCATCTCATGGAGCATCCCCCCTTCCTGTTGTCCGTATCGTCGAGATAATATCCCGTCCAGTCGTTGACCGCCGCGCATTGTTCCCGTGGCGCCCCACCCCCGCACTGCCCGATATCCCCGTTCTCCTGCCAGTTAAAACACAGCCTGGACGCCCTCATCCACAAGGGCGCGCCCTCCGGAACTTGCAGCTTCCAGCGCATCTTGCACCCTCCCTTGCGGTTGTCTGTGTCGTCCAAATACTCCTGTGTGTAGCTGTTGACGGCAGCACAAAACGTCTGCCCTTTGTGATTCCCGCATTGTTTTATATTATCCTCCGCGTACCATTGATAACATAGGCGAACTTCTTTAAACCAGGCTGGTGGGTTCTTCGATTCGACGCCCCATTTCATCTTGCACCCCCCACTTCTCCAGTCAGTCCAATCGGCGTACCACTGCGTCAGGGAGTTGGGGGTGGCGCATAAAAGCTGGGGCACACCCCCACCACATTGGTGCCAGTCACTGGTCCCACTCCAGTGAAGACAGAGTTGCGTCTCTTGACTAAACCAACTAGGGACTGTTAGATATTCTTCAACATCTTGCGCTAAAGTTTGGACTTCAAGCTCTTCATATTTACTTGAAGTCATCATCATCGTAACCCGATTATGCAATGAGTTGATTACAGAGTTATCGGACTTTTCTTTTGCTTTGGTAATAATCACACGGAGGTCGTTTAAGAAACTCTTCATTTCGTATATTTTCACAGCTTTAATCATAGAGTCCTGGATAGTCTGATTGTTAATTAAATTACTAATTGGCTTGACGGTTCCAGAAAAAAGCCAGGGATTCTTTTCAACACTCGGCTGCCAGTTTCTAAACCCAACTTTACTTAGGATATCAACGTCACCGCCGTAGTATTTCACAGTTTGAACTGAAGATTTTGTAAACTTTTCATCAATGCTGCCTTGCTTTTCCCCTAATAAATGATCGTATGTCGTTTTAACGTTGATGTCTACCTCGTTTTCGTTTGAGTAAAAATAATCTTTTGTGATTTCAAACATCACCCTAATACATCCACCAAATTTAGCTGTAGTGAAATAATGCGTGCCGTATCTCTCTATAAACTTAATATAAGCATCCGGGTTGTTATCGTAAGTATCATTCAAGTTTGTATTTATGTAATCTTGAACGTGGTTGTCTAAGGACAGCCCCTCAGGCGGGTTGATATCCACGCGGGTTGTTGAAGCGAACGCCGACAGGACAGTGACGAATCTGTTTTTGGTAGCTATCGTGTGCTGTAGTTTCTTGTAAGAATTGCTGTCTGAGAAGGCGAACCGACCGAGGTGGGAGTCCACCCCTGCAGAGTTTATCATGGCTTCTCGTACGTCCGCGTGAGATTTGTAGGTGTTGATCTCGGGTGACAGCCAGCCACTGGGCACCGTGGTAATCTGCCACACCTGAAAAAAAACTTTACTTTGAAAGCGAAAAATTTCGCACTTCAGCTTGAAAGCGAAAAATTTCGCACTTCAGTTTGAAAGCAAAATATTTCGCACTTCAGTTTGAAAACAAATTTTTCGCACTTCAGTTTGAAAACAAAATATTTTGCACTTCAGTTTGAAAACAAAAATTTTCGCACTTCAGTTTGAAAACAAAATATTTCGCACTTCAGTTTGAAAGCAAAAAAATTCGCATTTAAGTTTGAAAGCAAAATATTTCGTACTTCAGTTGGAAAACAAATTATTTCGCACTTCAGAAAACTTTTGAAAACAAAATATTTTGCCATTCATCAATTTCAATTATTTTTTTCTCAAATCAGTTGAGGCTAGTCTGAAAGTCTCGAGTTTAGATAATGGACTCGAATCCATTGGATGCACCTGAGTCTACCCAGCTCTAATGGGTACCTGGTTTACGTTAGATAAAATAAAGCGGCTGGGTATGGATCTGACAACATTATCCTTCATATGTTGATTAACAGAAACAGATATACAATATTTCATATGTCCCTTGCACCATTTGGTTTGAAAGAATAACTTTCTTTACCTCAAACAAGAAGAGCATTCTTCTGTCTTAAATAATTCTAAAAATAACTTGATAACTTTACAATAAAATGAGAAAATAACATTAAACGTTATCGAAATTCAAAGCGATATCCAAGTAGTTTGGGTAGTATGATAACAATTGCCAGCACTGTCGGATGGTCGAGTGAGCGACTGCTAACCCAAAAGTTCAGATCCCGGGCTCTATTCCTGAGTCCACGCACCTTTTTGGGTACTAGACTCCCGTTAGCGAAAGTTTAAGCGACTGGGCATAGTACTGACTACATTATGCTTTCATATATTGAGGTTCACACAGAAACAGGGGCACTCTACTCCATCTGACGTATGACAGGAAGGTTCGATAGTGTAACTTTTATTTTTCTATTCGATAACGATTTTACTAAACCATAAGCTTTATCAAGCAAACTGTTTAATATTAATGTTTTAACATATTTTGCTTCAGTACAGTGTCGTAGGCATGGGGGGGGGGTTAGGTATATATATATATATATATATATATATATATATATATATATATATATATATATATATATATATATATATATATATATATATATATATATATATAAAGTATGATGGGGGTGCAAATCGAAAGTTTGAGGGGGGGGGGGGGGCAAATCGAAATATTGAAGGGGGGGGGTGCAAATCGAAAGTTTGTCCCCGGGTAAAAATTGGAACCCCCCCTTGAGACGATCCTGGCTACGCCACTGCTTCAGTATGACTTAAGCAGGAACACAATAAAGCTAAATTCACCATAAGGTTATGTTCTAACTCAGTGTACGATATTATTAAACTAAAAAAAAAAAGAAATGTTTTCAAATACCTGATCAGGTAGGTCAAAGTTCGTGCCGTTAGCATTCTTCCATGTTTTTCCTTCCTCACAGGTCAAGCTGACCACTGGTCTCAGAAAGTCGTCACCGTTGATGACGTCCAGAGGCAGCAGGTCCAGTTTTGTGATGTCGACACTTCTCGTGATTTTATCAAGGTTAGGGGGTAGGTTGTTACATTTCTTGGCCTTGACGGGCAAGGTCAAGGTTAAACACACCAGAAACAGATGTTTCAACATCTTAAGGAACCTTAAAGTAAAGACAAATAATTATACTTTAAAAAAAAAAAACAATTTTTAATATTTTATAAATTTTACTAAAACATTCTACATTTAAAAAAAAATTACCAGTCATGAACGGACAGTTAAAGACATGGAATATTATCAAGATTTACACAAAGAAAGTAACAAGAAACTGTTGGTGCTTAAATCAACGTATATAGAATGTTCAGCACTGGATAGGTTCAACAAATATCAGTCGTGATATTTTTCTCTTTTTATATATTTTACTTGAACTGACATTATTATGATAAGCTGCTAACAGTAACAAGTTAAATTTCAAACTCAACTTAAGATTGTTAATCCTAAATGGTTAGGTTCTACAAACAGATAGAGATATTTAAGATTTTATGTCGATAAACAGTGAGAAATAAAACAAATATAAAATAATTTATAATCATAAGTGCATTGAAAAATAAATAAAAAATATAACAAACTTGTTGTCGTTAACATTAGAGATTTTATGTAAAGGTCAAAATTGAGTGACAAGATTCGCCAAAAATTAAAAAAAAACGTTTTTTAGGTGTTTTGTATTATGTAATAATAAACACTGTTATTTTCATTGAATGAAAATGGATATAAAAAAAGAAGTATTGCTATTGCAATATGAAGCTGTAATACCAATGCGAACATAGGTAGGTAAAACGAACGCTGCAAATATAATTTTTGAAGAAAAAAAATTTAAACAAAAAAAATAACTTTTAACAAAATATTTATTAAACAACTCAAATAAAATGTACGATTTAAGTAATAAATACAATAAAAAAGAGATTTCTATTTACAAAATGAATAAAAAAATAAAGCACTCACTATAAAATCTGAGAAAAAAATCTTAACCTCATGAAGATCCCTACAGCTCTGACTGTCATATAATAAAACTTTCTTGATCTAAACTGTGACCTGCACTCATCTCAAGTAAGGTTAGCATGACCTGGGTCACAGTGAACTTTATGATGATACAACAGCCTTGTTACAATCACCGGACAGGTAAACAGCGGGTGTAATTTGTGAAATTACAAAATTACAGAGTTTGGTGTAATCAGTATTCTTCTCGTTTGTAATGTGTTTATGGCGAAACTCGCTATGTACAATAGGGGTAGAGAAATGCTGATGCGAGGGTTAGAATTAACAAGACAGCAGGAAAGACGTTAGGAGAATTACATAATTTAAAAATACGTCAGCATCTTAAGTGCTTTAAAGTGCAAACTGTGATAGTTAATTTTATAACAATGTATCCCATAGATATATGTATTATGATGTATTGGATTTAGAGAATACGTTTATACACTCACACACACACACATATAATTATGTATGTGTGTAGGCCCTATATATACATACATATATATATATATATATATATATATATATATATATATATATATATATATATATATATATGTATGTATAAATATAATATATACGTGAATATGTATGTGTAATAACAGATAAGACATGCTGCATATTATAACGTTTATGAAAAGAACGATACAACAGTAACAACCATAAAAATATATCCAGCTCACACCCATTTTTCCAACGCGGAAATCAAACATTTTTACGCATGTATACAGTAGTAGTTTGATGTTAAGTAACAGTGTTTACATATATATTTCATTGAGTATGAAAATGGTGCAGTAATTTGTGTATATTTCAATAATTTTTACATTTGTCAGAGATATAATCGAATACATTTAGTTCAACACGTTTCTTGATTTGAAAAGTAGGCCATCGACGCAAATATCAAGTTAATAATAGATATTTTCATTCACAACAAACACAAACTAGTTTTTAAGAAAACTGTATTCTCCAACCCCGATATTTTAACAGCAGTAGAATCAATACAACCGCCCATTCACTTGATATCAAAGAACTACGTGATTATGTCACCGATACCTCCCCAGTGTCAAGACTGTAATCTATTGACCCACAGTTTTAGCCGGTGTCCTTCTGTTTCCTCCATACATACTTCGGGGTGGTGTTCTTTCATTGCTTTAAACCACGCGAGGAATTAAAATCTATATCTGCGTAGATTGGATTTTGTCTTTCGCCACTGCGGTTGTTGAAAGGAACGTTTAATACCGGCTATGAATACTTGAGAGAAATATTCAATCAATCAAAAATTGAATGAAGAAATAACAGCAGAGGTGGAGCAATATAATTTATTTATAATCAAGTTCTCCTTGGGTAATTTGATTTTAGCGTTGCTCTCATATTCATATGTGGGGTGGCATGGTTTAGTAGTAGAGCACTCGCTGGTAACTCGAGTCTCGAGTTTAGATCCCGGGCTTATAGTCAGGATGTCCCTAAGTCCACTCAGCTCTTATGAGTACCTTATTCACATTAGAGAAAGTAAAAGCAGCTGGGCATAATACTGACTACATTAACGCTCTCTATGCCTAGTTAACATATAAACTCTACTGAATATGACCAATGGGCCGCGGGGCTAAAAAGGGTAACATCATTTGCTTTACTTATATGTATTTTCATTTATTTGTAAGGATCCAATATACAAATGAATATCCATATAACTCTACTAAATATAATAAAAATCAGAAACCGAATTAAATTATTCTTCAAAGATGAGACGCCTCTGGTCTACGGGGCTAAAAATAAATTGTGCATTTAAATTTCTTCAGCGTGCTTTAATAGATCTAGATCTAGCTATTAAATTTTTGAATATCCGACTTGACGTATGTGATTACATGTAACTTTAGAAATAGGCGAACAGATCGTGATATCATTTACAAGTGCAGTCGCGTAATAAAATAAAAGAATGTGTACCGCATTCGAAAATAAGTTGCAGGCAAATTTGTGTTTATATATATATATATATATATATACATACATACATATTTATATATATATATATATATATATATATATATATATATATATATATATATATATACATGCCTGCATTCATAAACATATAAATACATATGTATATATATATATATATATATATATATATATAGGCCTATATATATATATATATATATATATATATACATATATAAATATTTATATATACACACACAAACACATATATATGTATATATATATATATATATATATATATATATATATATATATATATATATATATATATATATATATATATATATATATATAGTAAGAGGGAAAGCTTCTTTTGTGTGAAGAAAGGACCAAGACTATCATTTACCAACTATTTGAACTAAGTAGTACGATTAAATAAACGTAACTCCAGACTTTATGTCTATGATGTTTAAGCTTTGAAAAGCCCCCACCAGTTAAATTACTTATTCGCATACAAAAGTCCTTCACGTTTTAAAAGCATTTCTGTTCTAGCGTATTGGAACACACCCAATAAAACACCATCTCGCTAAACACCTACTTAAAGACTTACACTCCCCGGCAGTAGAGGCGAAGCTCTTCAGTCCAGAAAAGTTAAAAAGCTTTTGTCACGCTTGATCGGCTGTGTGACACAAGTGTGACGCACCTGTCTGTTTACCGTCGGCACTAAACGGTTATTGAATTCACTTCCGTGCCAATCGTCTGGTCTTTTAAAGGCTCTTAGAGTTATTGAGATAAACGCGTCGTGGAATATTGACACTGAAGTAGTGCCATTTCGTTTTGGATTAGGCCTTCAATCGTTACTCAATGCTGATCTGGTTGGACTTGGACTTAGTAAAAACTTGTTTTGAAGAGTGACAGTTTAGCTTTGTGCATTTTTCAAAGTTTTTCTTTAGTGAAATAGTATCGACTTTAATTGTGTGCAGATTTTAAAATCTACATAATATGAACTCTGATTATAAGTGGTATAGTATGTTTTAGAGTTGAAAAATGTTATTAACTTTTACAAAAGCACAAACAAACAGGTATTTAGATTGTTAAAAGTGAATAAAAAATGTAAAACTTTGCGCCACAAAAAGTAAAAGAAAACTATCATTTATTAAGAAAAATAAAGCTCTAGTTAAACTTCAAAAAAAGCTCTCGTTTAATATTTAGATTGTGAGTATTTATTTATACGGTTTCATATTATTAATAATTAGCGTCGGATAAAGAAAGATACCGATTTAAATATACACCAACGGCCAAATAAAATGGCCGGGATGGTGACCAATGTGTTGATGTTAACTTTGGCTCTTGTGATTCAAGTGTTCGCTCAAACTCCTGTAAGTTTATACTTTGTTTAATATAATATTAGAATTATATGTACCAAGTGCTTATTCTGTCTGTCTGTCTGTCTGTCTGTCTGTCTGTCTGTCTGTCTGTCTGTCTGTCTGTCTGTCTGTCTGTCTGTCTGTCTGTCTGTCTGTCTGTCTGTCTGTCTGTCTGTCTGTCTGTCTGTCTGTCTGTCTGTCTGTCTGTCTGTCTGTCTGTCTGTCTGTCTGTCTGTCTGTCTGTCTGTCTGTCTGTCTGTCTGTCTGTCTGTCTGTCTGTCTGTCTGTCTGTCTGTCTGTCTGTCTGTCTGTCTGTCTGTCTGTCTGTCTGTCTGTCTGTCTGTCTGTCTGTCTGTCTGTCTGTCTGTCTGTCTGTCTGTCTGTCTGTCTGTCTGTCTGTCTGTCTGTCTGTCTGTCTGTCTGTCTGTCTGTCTGTCTGTCTGTCTGTCTGTCTGTCTGTCTGTCTGTCTGTCTGTCTGTCTGTCTGTCTGTCTGTCTGTCTGTCTGTCTGTCTGTCTGTCTGTCTGTCTGTCTGTCTGTCTGTCTGTCTGTCTGTCTGTCTGTCTGTCTGTCTGTCTGTCTGTCTGTCTGTCTGTCTGTCTGTCTGTCTGTCTGTCTGTCTGTCTATCTGTCTGTCTGTCTATCTGTCTGTCTGTCTATCTGTCTGCCTGTTTCTCTCTCTCTCTCTCTCTCTCTCTCTATATATATATATATATATATATATATATAATTGGTTTATATTTAGTGCTCTGCTGTATGCTGAGTGTGAGATTAAAAAATTGTCTTAGGTTTCGGATAATTCTTATGTTATCAACTTCAGTGTTGGTAGTAAGTAGTAAAATCAGATGCGTTCTACTAACATGATTTATTCAAAGCTTCACTGCTCTGTGTTGTCTGACTTTCAACACTGGAATCACAATTTATTTTAACCATGTCGGTTTCTTTTTACATTGGACAGGTAATTTTACCGTTTACAAAGCCAGTGAACATACATGAAGACACAATTATCGAGACAACATTAGTACAGGTAAGTTAAGAGGTAGCTCTTGTGCTTTTCGCATTAACTAACATGAACCATTGATCTCTCTCTCTCTCTCTTTATATATATATATATATATATATATATATATATATATATATATATATATATATATATATATATATATACATAAGAATCGTCGTTATTTAACATATATGTATATGTGTATATTTTTCGCGATGTATATGTACGCATACTTAGTATGCCTTTTGTGACCAGTGTGTGCAATGCGTACATTAAGTCACCCACCAAGGCTGTGATCACGATTACCAAATTACATGCTGTAAGCGAGACAAGTGCCTGGATGAAAATACGATGGGGTCTAAATCATCCGCCACTGGAAACAGTGAACCAGTTCACATTACATTGTAGATACTAATTGATAGCTCTGCCATATAACGTCACTGATTTGATTTTTGTCTACTCACCCTGCAGGTAAAATGCAGCAACGCAGGTGATGCCTGTATTTGTAATGTCAAAGACATGACCCCCGCCAATGGTCCATTCACTGTCTGGAATAAGCCACCCCTCACTGGTGAGTAACCTCCAATATAAATATTAATTAATTATATCGTCCACAGTTATCGATATAAGCAATGCACTTGCACATAATAGTGTATTTCTTCTTATTTACCCTTTTCTGCTCCCAAAAAAACAGAGGTTATTTACAACATCTTTCCATTTTTTTTTCTGTACTTTGCTTTATTTTCCCATTTCTTCCCAAATCTGTTTCACAAATTTTCAGAGGCGTAGGGACCCTTCACGGCGCCCGGGGACAAACTTTCAATTTGCAACCTCCTCGAACTTTTCATTTGCACCCTCCCTCAAACTTTTAATTTGGCGCCCCCCCCCCTAAGGTCGGCGCCCGGGGACATATGTCCCCCCCGCCCCCCCCCCTCGCTACGCCTCTGCAAATTTTCATATCATTTTCTATTTCTCTGCGCTACTCTCATTCTCTTTCTTGATCCTTGTGGATTCCATGACCTGTTTAGTCTCATAATACTAGAAACTAATTTCCTCATTGTGTTGCCTATCCATGTCCACATTCTCTACATTTTTTTAGCTCCATTGTGACCAGTGTTTCTTCCAGACTTTTTTCTCCGGGGGGGGGGGGGGGGGCACTTTTCGGGGGGGGGGCGGTAAACTTTCTTCGGGGGGGGGGGGGAGCGGACACTGTTAAAAGTATATATTTTCTATATAAATTATATAAATTTCATTTTGTTTGGGGGGGGGGGGGGGGCGGTAAAATTTTTTCGGGGGAGCTAAAGCCCCCCCCCCCCCCCCGAAGAGATGCCTGGAAGAAACTCTGATTGTGACTTGAGCGTAACCATATTGTTTTCAAAACAGTTTATATTTGAATATATTCGCCGAAGGCTTTATTTTAAAAACATAGATTGTGCCAGCACCATTTTGTCGATCGTCAACTTTCAACCCCGTACAATAATTCAGATTTTACATTTGAGTAACAAAAACATCTACAACATCCAAAACGATGTTATTTTAACTGTGGAGTTATTTTAAGATCTTGCGTTATGTAGAAGAAGACAATAATGTAAATATATTCCCATATCTTATTTAAAATAAAAACTAATCTATAATAACTTTCTTAAAATTGATACCAAGTCATATATTTGATAAGATATTGATTAAAACCTCTCGTCCTTGTACTCACATACATCTAACGTTTACGACATCAATAATTAACCCAAAGTTTGTTTATACATGGTACCATAAACCTTTAACAGAACGATCATAACTAGATAAAATTATAACAGGACTTCATATCAACAGGGCCATATTTCTGTCACTCAGAATACACTAAGTACACACAGATTGTGGGGTGCAATGTTTACCAACGTGTCATACAAGAGCTATTGTTAAAATATAGTGGCCGTATTAGAATGTTCCGTTCACTAATGTTTTTGGGAAACAGCTGCATGAAACATATTATGTTTGAAGCCAATATTGCTTCACGCTAATATTTTTACTATTACTGCTTATGTAATGTTTTGAAAACTAATTCAAATAGGAAGAATGTTTCATCCTAAAATTTGATCCTCACTTATATTTTTATATACTACTAACTAATATGTTTCATGCTACTTAATGATACAAGCTTATGTTTTAGATTTTTAAAATTAAAACTAGTATGTTCTAACTCCGATTTTGTTTTTTAGTTCCAAAGTTCCTAAATAATGTTTTATGCAGTGTTTAGATATTTCGTGAAACTGCTATGTAAACCTTGTAAGATAAAAACTATAGCCACACAGTTTTTTCCCTTGCTTTGAAAACATCTTAAATCCAAAAAAAAGGAAAAGAAAAATAACCTCGGAAAAATGTTGTCATAGCAGAAAGATTTTGTGGATGCAAAATATGCTAATATACTAGGATACAACAGCTACTAACTACTCTACTTCAGGCTGCTTTGGATTCTAGCTTATATAAAATTTATGATGCTAGAATGGCTACCTGCTACTATGCTACCAGCTGCTATTGATTCTAGCTTACACTTAGATACTAGAAAGACTGCTAGCTACTATCTTTCAGGCTACTATTGATGCTAGTTTTTATTTTTGATCTGTGTTTCTTCCATACTTTTTCTCCGGGGGGGGGGGGGGGGGCACTTGGAATTTTCGGGTGGAGGGGGCGGTCTAAATTTTCCGTGGGGGGGGGGGGCGGACACTGTTAAAAGTATATATTTTCTAAATATACATTTCATTTCGTTCTGAGAGGGGGGGGGGGGCGTAGAAATGCCTGGAAGAATCTGTTTTTTTTATGCTAGAAATGCTACCAGCTACTATCTTTCAGGCTCCTTCTGATTTTAGCTTACATGTCTGACACAAGAATGACTACCACCTATGCTAAAGGCTACATGTGTAAACTCTTATCCTCCAGGCTACTGGTGCTACTACACAGGTCAAGCACAGGGCGGCACGCTGTCCTTTAAAACAACCCCCACCTACAGCATCACCATAGAGTGCCGGAACACCTACGACAACGCCACGGCTACAGCAACCCTCGAGGTAGATGTTCAACAGAATCAGGCGCCTGAGATAAAAAACACAAACTATCCGCGAGGTAGGCTGTGTTTTAGTTTTTGCGAAACATCTTGAACCTTCTGAAATAAAGTCACCATATTTGAACCCGTTATGTTGGCGTGGTCGGGTCGGTTAAGCTAATGGTTGCTGAACCGATAAGTCCCGAGTTCGAACCTCAGGGTAGATGAGGCTCGTTAGCTGGGGACAGCCACTCATCTAAGGGAGACAACTCCAAAATCAAACATCTGCTGTCTTGTAGTTTGTTCTTGGTTGGACAAAGGTTGGAAGCAAATCCAAAACAAAAAGCATGATGAAATTGGAGTCGACGTCCGATATGGCGCATAACAAATTGACACGTATACTTAATTGTGTTTGAGAGAATCCCTTTCAACACTAAAATTAAGAACGAAGGAGAACCCGTTATAAATTACGTCACCCTGCTTTTAAGGTGAGAGGGGGGTGGGGGGGGGGGGGGTTGACGATGTGTGACTAAGGGCACAGGTCGGTTGTATAACGTATGACGTAGCTTTTATATTCAGCTTAGGTATGGAAAAACAATAACAAAGAATATTCGTTTTCGATAGAAGATAGTCGAGGTTTTTTTTTTTAAAAGAGGAGGATGAAAAAGTCATGTTCGGGGGGGGGGGGGGTAAAGGTTATGATAATGTTAAAAAAAATTACGTGACATCAGTTTTGGAGGTAGGGGGAGTTGCACATTTGTTGACGTTATTTTGGGTAGGTGTATCAGAGATTTGGTGCCGACAAGATGGCGTGCACAAGGTAAAATACGATTTCAAAAGCGTGAAGTCACTTACTTGTTAGTGTTGATTGAGAAGGCATTTTCAAAAAAAGCTATATTTTAATAAATAAGTAACACTGGATGTGTTCTAAGTATAAAAAGTTGTATTTTTTTTCCAATTAAATATATTTTTATCAATTTTACTTGAATACGTAAGTAAGGCTTGTTGTCTAAATCCTCCGGCTCAAAAATTTAAAACGAAGAAGAAGAAAAACAAGTCGCTACAGTTAACATACTGATTTACCTTCTCCTTGTAAAGCGACTGCCGGTAACCAATAAAGAAAAAAAAAATCATATAAAAATTGCAAAATGTATTCATTTTATTTATCCTTAAATGCAAACAAGCAACTTCGCAACACAATAACCAAGACCGAAATAAACTTATATGTAACAGAAGCTTTATAAAACGGCCTATAAAATTACGATCTCTTTACAAAACTTTCTCCAGAAACTCTGACCCTCGACGCCACAAAACCTTACGCTGCCGGCGAAGTGATCTACACCGTCACGGCCACAGATGCAGAAAACGACCCTTTGACTTTCTCCATATCCACCTCGCCATCTGTTAATTACTTCAGCATAGGTTCAAGTAAGTGTTTTAACATCATATACATCGAACTGACGAAATAGATAATTATAGATTAACGAGCCGGCCCGCGGCAAAACATACGTCGCTAATTAGTTGTTGTTTTTTCTACTATTCAGTAATTCATAATTTGTGAATTCGACGGTACCAACGCTGCCACTGAAAATATTTCTTTAAAACACTATAAGTAGCACGTTAAGGACCATAAACCCCCCCCCCTTCCTCCCCCCCCCCCCCCCTACTTTTAAAATCGTTTTAAACTAAATTATCTGCCCCTATTAGTCGTCACTAAACCCGGCTCTGCTTGTAAACATTTAGAGTGAACACAGCTCACTAAGACCATGTAGGGTGGGGGTGGTAGGGAGCGCGTTTACAGCTTGTTTTCTAGCGTCTCCCAGAAGAGAATTATTTATATATATAAAGAGATAGATCAACATGAATTAGATCGTGGGATCGGCGTGGTAGAATGGTAGAGCTTATGACTGCTAAACCGAAAGTTACGAGTTCGTTTTTAAGATGCCCCTGAGTCCACCCAGCTATGATGGATACCGGACTAATTTTAGGGAAACTAAGTGCCGTTCATTGAAACAGATTGACTCTACTTCATCTGCCACATGTGATTTGGGGCACGAATGGGGAAATTAGAAAATAGAGAATACTTACATTCTGATATCTATCCCTAATGAAGGCGTAAAACAGGTAGGCATAAAAAAATAATCATGTAACAGATCAGTTGTCAATGAAGCACAATTAGCCGGAATGTTATGGTCCAAACTTGGAGGAATCGTCTAACAGTACAATGGACAGGTGTGTTTGCGTCCCTATGTTGCCAATGGATCTATAGGAATGCTAGTATTGAGAGGGCGGTGATAACCGAAATCTGAACACTGCTTTAAATAGTGATTGAAATATAACATACTTATTGAGTAGTATTTTATGTGCCACTTTGTGTAACGTTTTATGTAATATGCAATATTAACAGTTAATGTAACAATTAATTTAGTAATTTGTGTAGCATTTTATGTAGCATTTTATGGAACTCAATGTAATATTTTGTGTTTTATTTAGTTGATTTTTTATGTTACATTCTATGTAATATTTTATGTAGCTCCATGTAATATTTTGTATGTATTATTTTATGTAATATTTTATATAACATAAAATATGTAACATTGTATGTAACATGTCGTTATTATCTCTACAGAGGATGGGTTAATCTCCACAACGATTGATCTAAGGGCAGCAACCGAGAAATACATCGTTGTTACAGTCACAGTAAAAGACAAAGTCAACACAGTCAATGACTTTGAAATATTTATCACGATAACCAGTAAGTCAATGACAAAACTTGTGTGAACCATGAAATCATTCATTAAATCATTCATTAAATCATTCATTAAATCATTCATGAGACATTGTATTTATGATGAAGTCGTTTATAAGACGTGTGTGGAACGAAAACGAATCTACTTTTACAAATTTCATTTTATTATTTGAACGCGGTATATTGTTAGCTAGGCAACTAACACAATTATATGCAGTTTCTTTCTAAAAAATGTTTAAAGAAATATAGTGCATTTAAATAATATTTTTGAAACGTTTATGTAAAATTTAAAAAAATGCAACACCACTTAAAAAAATGCTGGAACACATTTAGGTCAATATTATCCCCATATGTCTTCTGACACTATTAAGCGCCGTTCTTCTTATTCCTTTGTGGCCCCTGGGGAGCAAAGCGCTGCAGTCAGACCTCTGTACGGCACTCAGCTATGGGCAGCTCTCCTTATCTGCCCCCTTGTAAGCCCGGCAGTACTTGCCTTGTACGGGTCCTCCTCCAGGATTTCCTAGCTTTCCTCTTCCCCTGGGGATTCGAGTCCAACGTGAAGTAGTAGGGGAGCAGTAGGAACGACCGATCACCCTGAAGGCATTCTCAGTAAAACTGAATCTTTTTCGTAATTTTAGTTATTTAAGAAAAACAAAACAACAGCTAAAATTGAATAAATATTTGTCTATATAATGATTATAAAATAAACATTGTCGCCGATATCTACATATACCATCCCCCCAGTCACAAAAACTGTCTACCTTAGAATTTAGACTACATCAAATATTTAAGATCCCTCATACCTGTGATATAGAGTAGTAGAGCGTTAGACAGTTTACCAGAAAGTCTCGAGTTCGAATGTGGGTTCAAGTAACTGGAACGTGTATGAGTCCACCCATCTCTGATGGTGTTATGGAAAGTAAAGGCATCTGGGCATAGTGCTGACCAGTTAATCCCTTCAAGAAATATATCAACTCTACTTTCTCTGCCCAATGACTAGATAGGTCTAAAGTGGAAATTTTACACCTCTGATCTCCTTCACAGATATGAACGCCAGACCACAGATAACAAATCTGCCAGCCACGCTGAACATTCTAGAAAATGAAGCCAGTGGATACAACATTATGACGCTGACGTTTTCAGATCTGTAAATATTTGTTTTGGTATAGTTTGTCATTCTAAATGTAATGTTGTTTTTTTAATAAAAGCTCATTATGCTAATCACTGTGTTTTACTACATAAGGTATGTTCTGATTTTCCAACTTGATCGCTCCCTCTTCTTCTCTTCAATAAATATATCTTTAGAATGGTATAAGATATTTTTCTTTATATAGACACTCCCCTCAGTTCAAACTTTTATATGCTAGGGATCCTCTTTTTCTGCCGCCACCCACAGTATAATTATTTACATGCAATTATAATGTATCACTCGTATAGATCACTAGCCCTCACACAAGCTGCAAACAGGTCTAGTCTATACGATACGCTATAATGGTCGACTTCTAACCGGAATGTGTCGAGTTCGAATATCGCGGGCTCCAGTCCGTAAGACCTCCTGAGTTCACTCAGCTACGATGGGTACCTGACTCACGTTAGGTAAACTAAAGGCGGATGGGCATAGTGCTGACCACATTATCCATTCATATATGCCAAAGTCACAGAAATATATGAACTCTATTTAACATGCCTCTTTGACCATACAGTTTGAAAGAGGACTTTACTTCTTTTTTTCAATAAACCCCTATGTTATGATTAATTAATTAATGATAATTGTTTCTACCTGCAGTGACTATACCGTGCCCCAGATCCCGACATGCACGGTGGTACCCAGCGGTGAGCAGTACAAGTTTACATACGAGTCAGGAAGTGAGTGGATTCGCTAGTTCAGGTCACGTGATAAATATTTGGAAAACTCGACAATTTAGGAATGCCGAGTTTTATTAAAAAAAAAACAACAGGCATTTAAACTTATGCCGTTGTTTTTAAGATTGTTCAATGTGGTATTGCTTATAAAATAAACCGGGAGTGATCTCCCCAAAACTTTCTCGAATATTCTAATATAACACTACGTGGGATGGCAACTCGGAATATAGACATGATTTTTGTTTACTTAAACTTTTGAAAATAGAATAAAATCTAGTACAAAAAGAATTGCGCACCAAGCGAACGCCAAAATAAAATGTGCATAATAGTGCCCAATATTATTAGTACTTTATAAATTTACATGCGTTTTTCTGAGAAATCAGAAATAGCGTAAATTAGTACTTCCGGTCAACGGAAAGTACTCAAAATTTGATAGAAGGTAGAAAATTAGATTTTTTACTTACGTGTGAAATTTCATTCATCTATCTGAAATAGTACTCAATTTATTGGCTTTTGAAAAATTCAAAGTAGAAAAAGTACCACTTCCGGTTATCGGGAATTGCTCAAAAGTTGATCAGGATCTACGATTTTGATAAAATACCTATATATGAAATTTCCTCAACCTAGCTGTAACGGTACTCAAGTTATCGTGTTTACACACACACAGACACACACACACACAGACACACGCACAGACACACAGACATACGGACAATATTGCAAAAATTATGTTTTTCCGTATCAGTGAGGTGTAAAACTTCGAGATTTGTAAAAATTACAATTTGCACGATTACTAGACTCTCTCTATACTTCGTATATACGAGAAAGTAAAAAAATAAACCCCATTTCTAGGAGATGAAATTACTTTAAAATGTCCACCAAAAATTAATGACAGAAACTTCGAGAAGCTTACTTGTAAGTAGGACGTACAGATTGTGTCTCCTGTTGGAGCCATTGTCTGCTTTAAAGTAAAATACATTTTCAGATCTGAAAGGTCATAGTGCAGATGTAGTAGAATTGACCTGAATCTTTTGTATGGCCATTTGAGAATTAAATTAAGTAGCTAGCACCAAATACTTTCCCTGACTCCAACACCCATTACATCAAGGCATATTCAAAGACGTTCTTATTTCTAGAATATTCTAGAACGATGGTGTTATATCGAACCCAGATTAAGAACCACTGTTGTAGATCCAAGGACCCGCAAGTCTCTACTTGCACCTAATAGCATCGCTACTCCTTTATTCGTAAAACTCTAATATTTGTACAGTTTATTTATACTAAAGTACAAGTTCTAATACATTAGGAGACTACTGCATAATGCAAGTGTTTATGTTGTTTGAACTTCCCTCCAGCCCACAAGCTCAGGTTGTCAACCCTGACTGGCGTTACCAACCCGCTGGACTACGAGACAATCAACCAGTACAAGATAACGTGTGTACTCAATGATGGCTTTTTGTAAGTTCCAGATGTTGACATTTTTTCTATAGACACTTGTAACACGTTTGAACCTGTTTTCATCATTTTCGGCGTGGAAGTGTTGTAAATACATGTCTTTAACTAGATGTTTTAAGACATGTTTTAATACATGTTTTAAGCAGAGTTTCTTCCAGGCATCTCTTCTCCCCCCCCCCCTCGAAGGAAATGGAATTCATATAGGAAACATACTTTACCTGTGTCCGCCTCCCCCCAGGAAAATATTGTCCTTCTCCCCGAAAATATCAAGTGCTCCCCTGGAAGCAGTGGAAGAAACACTGGCTTTAAAATATATTTTATACGTGGTTTTAAAACTTTTTTTTAAAACATGGTTCAAAACATGTTTTAGACAACTTTTAAGACTTGTATTGCGACATGTTTTAAGACATATTTTAAGACATGCTTTAAGACATGCCTTAATGTTTTAAGACATCTATTAAGACGGTTCAAAACATGTTTAGGTTTCAAGACGTGTTTTAAGACATGCTTAAAGACAGTAGCGTAGCGAGGGGGGGGGGGGGGGGGGCGGGGGGACATATGTCCCCGGGCGCCGACCTTAGGGGGGGGGGGGGGCGCCAAATTGAAAGTATGTCCCCGGGCGCCGGGAAGGGTCGCTACGCCTCTGCTTAAAGACATGCTTTAAGACATAACGTAAGACATGTTTAATACATGTTTAAGACAAGTTTGAACACAAGTTTTAAGACAACTTTAATACATGTTTTAAAACATGTTTTATAACATGTCTTAAGACAAGTTTTAAAACAAACCACTTCCAACAGAGACTCACAAGGTGATGTACTGACGCTGAATGTTCAGAACGTGAACGAACCTCCCACATTTGATGAAATCGCCTACTACTGTGACCTAGACGAGAGTAATGTAAGCATTTGTTTGTAAGATATACTTGGTTCTAATGGCTTAGCCATACCCACCTGTTCGCAAAACATATATTGACAATTAGTTTTAGTTTACCAATACATATATGATTTTTTTTGGGGGGGGGGGGGGGGGTATAATTAGGCATAAAGTTAGGGCAAGAGTATGTGTTAGATTTTAAATTTCAGATAGATTTAGTGTTAGTGTTAGGGACCCTGACTGTTTTGGTTTAATAGAACTACCACTAAGAATATTACGTTATGTTTAGTCGTTAGATAATTAAATCTCGAGTCTCCGCGAATACACTGTGGAAATGTAATAAAGGTATTGATAAGTTGTACCTTTTACCATTCTACACTTTTCACCATCATATAAGCTTAGCTGGTAGAGTTGATAACGATACTTTTACCGTTAATCAAACATTAAACCTAACTTAGACCGGAAGAAGTAAGGGTTGCAATAAATGAATCGCGAATAGTTGCAGTTAAACTATGTGGGAATGGCTAAGAAATACAAATTATTCAATCGTTATTTTTTTACCTGATTTTCGGTACATGGTAACATTAATGCTCTGTTGTTATTTATAAAATGTGTATGATCATTACCGTAATATAAGACATTAAAGTATGTTTGTTTTAACGATGTTGTAAATTGGTGTGTTGATTATCATCCTCTCTAGACTGGTGGATCATCGTGTAACCTGAATGCTGTTATAGTCGACCCAGAGGGCGACTTGATCACTTCTGTGGCCTTTGTCAGTGGGAACAACAGTAATCGATTTAGGTACGGTTAGGGTTAGCGTAGGGTAGGGCAGGGTAGGGTAAGGTGGGGTAGGTTAAGGCAGAGTATGGTTGGGTAGGGTTGGGTAGGTTTAGGTAGAGTAGGGTTAGGTAGGGTAGGGTTAGGGTAAGGCAACGTTGGGAAAGGCAAGGTAGGGTTAGGTAGGTTAGCGTTAAGTAGGGTATGGTAAGGCAAGGTAGGGTAGGGTAAGGCAAGGTAGAGTTAGGCAAGGTAGCGTTAGGCAAGGGTAGGGTTAGGCAAGGTAGGGTTAGGAGGGGTAGGGAGGACAAGGACGACGGGGTCTAGAACGCGTCCTTGCTAACTTTTGAAGCCTAGTTCATGCCCGAACTACCCCACCTTAAGAAGAGAGAAAGAAAAAAGAAGGTAACATTGGTGAGAAAAGGGCCCAATGTTCAACGCCATATAAATTTAAATTCTAGAATAATTTTGTCCTGTTTTAAATTGATAAATCTTTAATTACCACATGAGAACTTTTATATGATTAATTTTTAACTAATATTAAATTTAATACTTTCTTAAAACACTACATAATACATTCTTTTAAATCCGACTAAACTTTGAAAATTTATAATATGTGAAGTTTTCACTACATAATTAATGGCAAGGCCTTTTCTTCTTTCTTTTTCATTCTTAATGCTAGTGTTGGAAGGGATTAAATATTACGTGTCAAACTGTTATGCGCCATATAGACACGACTCCGATTTCAGTCCGCTTTTCTATTTAGGATTTGCTTCCATAGCCTTTGATAAGCCAAGAACAAACTACAAGGCAGCAGTTGTTTGATTTTGGGGTTGTCTCTCTTAGATGGGTTGCTGTCCCCAGCTGTCGAGCTTCATCTGAATGAGGGTTCGAACTCGAGAATTTTTGATTTAGCGACTATGAGCTTTACCAACTCGGCGACGCCGACCCTTTTGAAACTTCAATATTACCAATATTGGTACTTTCTCGCAGGGGCGTAGCGAGGGGGGGGGGGTTGGGGGTGCGGACCGCACCGGGTGACACCATTTAGGGGGGTGACACCAAGGCAAAAAATAGCAAAATATATAGAGAAAAACTCGAGGGGGGGGGTGCAAATCGAAAGTTTGAGGGGGGGGGGGGTGCAAATCGAAAATTTGAAAGTTTGTCCCTGGGAAGGGTCTCTATGCCTCTGGGGGGTGACACCATTAAGTGCCGCACCGGGTGACACTTGACCTCGCTACGCCACTGCTTTCCCGTCAACTAACTACAAAATATGATTGTACCTTCCAATAAACTTAACAACTAAACTTAAAATCTTTCACCTGTCAGGTATGACCGGTCAACCTCGACCATCAGCTTTAACGTCGACTATGACGTAGATGCCAGCACGTACATGCAGACCAGCGTCATCCTGCAACTCCAGGCAACTGACGTGTACGGCGCCTACAAGATCGTGCCGGTGTACATCAACATACACGACGCCAACGACAACACCTGCAGCTTTGGTGCCACAGCTGTAGGTTATATAACAGTATCGTAGGCTATATCTTAACAGTATAGCAATATACGATGTTATCGCCTCATACAACTTTATAATACAGCAACATTAAAATTTTCAGTGTAGACGAATACATACAATACACACAATAGTATAGCCACATACAACATACTAGTATATTCACATGCAAGAAAATAATATAGCCATATACAATGTAACAGTACAGCCACCTACAACATAACAGTGTCATCAAATGCAACATACATCTTACATTATAGTCAAATAAAACGTAGTATAATCGCATATAAAATAACAGTATAGCCACTTACAACATAATAGTATATTCAAATGCAACTGAACCGTGTTGTCACATACAAAATAATAATATATTCGCATACAAGATAACAGTCTATTCACATACAACGTTAAAGTATGACCGTATACAACATAACAATATAGTCACATACAATATAGCAGTGTTGTCACATACAACATACACCTTACACTATAGTCAAATACAACTTAGTATAATCACACACAACCGAAAAGTATCGTCACATACAACTTAACAGTTTAGTAACAATTTTTCTGTGATGTTTACATACAAAGATATAACTATTTAGTTCTTTAATACGCTGTTTCTTACAATTACCCTCTTACCGAAATTTTAAAATTAAGTTACACAAGTAAATACGAATGTCTTATATTCAAGTACCGTCAGTAAATAAAAACCTAAAGTTCCGTATCAATGAATATTCGCTTTCAATAAAATTCAAATGAATTGGTCAGATGTATACCCGCGTACTAATGAGCAATTACTTTCAATACATTTTTGATCAATCAACCATAGCTAAAATATTGTAGGCTATATATCAACCAAATAGTCAATACATTTCCCATCAACCAACCATAATTAAACCATCGTATCAATCAACCATCACAGCAGAGGCGTAGCGAGTGGGGGGGGGGGGGCGGGGTGTGCGGATCGCACCGGGTGACACCATTTAGGGGGGGGGTGACACCAAGGCAAAAAATAGCAAAAATATATAGAGAAAAACTTGAGGGTACGGGGTGCAAATCGAAAGTTTGAGGGGGGGGGGTCGCAAATCGAAAGTTTGACAAGGGGGGGGGGTGCAAATTGAAAGTTTGACGGAGGGGGGGGGGGGGGGGTGCAAATTGAAAGTTTGAGGGGTGGGGGTGCAAATCGAAAATTTGAAAGTTTGTCCCCGGGAAGGGTCGCTACGCCTCTGGGGGTGACACCATTAAGTGCCGCACAGGGTGACACCCGACCTCGCTACGCCACTGCATCACAGTCAATATATTTCCCATCAACCAACTATAATTAAACCCTCGTATCAATCAACCATCACAGTCAATACATTTCTCATCAACCAACCATAATTAAACCCTCGTAACAATGAACCAAATAGTCAATACATTTCTCATCAACCAACCATAATTAAACCCTCGTATCAATCAACCATCACAGTCAATACATTTCTCATCAACCAACTATAGTTAAACCCTCGTATCAATGAACCATCACAGTCAATACAATTCTCATCAATCAACCATAATCAAACCAACGTATCAACCAACCACCACAGTGAATACATTTCGCATCAATCAACTATAATTAAACCCTCGTATCAATCAACCATCACAGTCAATACATTTCTCATCAATCAACTATAATTAAACCATTGTATTAACCACCCACCACAGTGAATACATTACCCATCAAGCAACTATAATTAAACCGTTGTATCAATCAACCATCACAGTGAATACATTACCCATCAATTAACTATAATTAAACCCTCGTATCAATCAACCATCACAGTCAATACATTTTCCATCAACCAACTATAATTAAACCCTCGTATCAATCAACCATCACAGTCAATACATTTTCCATCAACCAACTATAATTAAACCACCGTAACAATGAACCAAATAGTCAATACATTTCTCATTAACCAACCATAATTAAACCATTGTATCAATCAACCACCACATTGAATACATTACCCATCAGCCAACCATAACAAACACCCCCCCCTCACCCCCAGACCCTGACCTTCAAGGCTGACCAGTCGACCAGCCTGGGCAGTCTGGGAACGTTCTCCGCCAAAGACAACGACCTAACCTCCCCCAACAACCTGGTGTCCTATGAAGTTGTGCAGGCGCTACCATCAGACTCATCCAATTACATCGCCGTATACACTGACGGGGCTATAGCTTACACAAGTGAGTCGATGAAAGGGGCGTTTTGATTGGTCTTTGGTTTGGTGTTTGGCATCAGTGTATATGCACTACATCTTCGATTTAATCCTGTGTTTCTTCCAGGCATCCCTTCGTGGGGTCGACCCCCCGAAATAAATGGAATGTATATAGAAAATATATACTTTTAACAGTGTCCGCCACCCCCCCCCCCTTCAAAAATTTGTCAGAAAAAGTAAAATTAATAAAATGGGGTTTTGTTACATTGTGCATGTGGTAATTGTGTGGCTAATTTCTATAAATGCTCGAATTAAAAAAGAAAAACAAAAATGCCATTGCACACTTTATTGTGCGCAGTTTTCCGTAACGTCTGTTTAGAATCCATCACTGAATGATTTTCTGTTTCTTTTATTTAAATAGAAAAGAGCCACTTTATAAAATAATAGTTTGTTATATTATGCTAATAACGACAAACTATTTACATCATTTAATTATTTTTTATTGCAAGGTTAAACGAGTTTACTTTTATAATAGGTCTAATACCCGAATCCAACACCGGAAAAAGCTACAGCCTCGTTGTCAGATGTAAAGATGGCGGATCCCCACAGAGAACGGCCCAAGGCACCGTCGTGCTAACTTACCAGGTGACCACCACCACAACCGTCACCACCACCTCGACCACCACCACCGCCTCCACCAGCACCACATCCACGACAACAGCTAGCAGCAACTTGTTCGACAACGACGCCTTTGTTGCTGTCTTCGCTATCTTGATGTGCCTGTTGGTTTTGGGGCTTTTAGTGGGCTTGTACTTCCTGCTCAAGTACTGTGGGCTGTGTGGGGCTGCCTCTGCTGGGAATATCTGTGGGGCGAATGGATGCAATGATTTCTGCTGTCCTAAGTAAGTCTACTTACTATTTTTTTACACTTGTAAATAAACCGGAAGTGATCTCCCCTAAACTTTCTCGAATATTCTTATATAAAACAACAGGGGATGGGAACTCCATTTTAAATACTTAAAGTTTTTAAAATAGATTAAAATCTCTTAGAAAAAAGAATTGCACACCAAGTGAACGACACATGAAATGTGCATACTAGTGTGCAATATTATTAGTACATGCGTTTTTGACAGAAGGTAGAGAATTAGATCTTGTACTAACATGTGAAATTTCATTTATCTATCTGAAATAGTACTCAAGTTATAGACTTTTGAAAAATTCAAAGTAGAAAAAGTACCACTTCCGGTTATCGGAAATCGCTCAAAAGTTGATACGGATCTTCGATTTTGATAAAATACTTATATATGAAATTTCATCAACCTAGCTGTAACAGTACTCAAGTTGTCGTGTTTACACACACACACACAGACACACACACATACACACAGGCATACGGACAAGATTGCAAAATTATGTTTTTCCGTATCAGTGAGGTGTAAAACGAGATTTGCAAAAATCTCGAAATCTTTTTTTGCACGATTACAAGACTTTTTCTATACTTCGTATATACGAGAAAGTAAAAATGGAAATGTTTTACTTTAAACACTGATCAAACACGTCTTAGTAATAAGGTCAATTTCCCCACAGTAAATCATATGTCCTGATATGTATTGTTAGAGTTGGCGTTGTAATTAGAGTTATTTTCAGAGATTAGGTTGGTTTTTCTTACATCACACCATGTTTGCAGCGTGTAAACTATATTCAACTTTTTCATTGTTGTTTCAGGAAACAGGTCGAGCCAGTTAAAGACTAGTAAGTAACTAGATGCAACCATTCACGCAAGTTCATATATATATATATATATATATATATATATATATATATATATATATATATATATATATATATATATATGTTTGTTTGTTTAAGAGTATGTGTGTGTCAATTGGAATCCATCAGAGCTAGTTGGACGTTGTGCTGTGACTAAAATCTTGGATTCGAACTCGAGACTCTCGGGACAGAAGTCTAGCGCTCTACCACAACGCCACGCGGTCCCATGTTTGTATGTCTGTGTATAGGTTAATTATAAGCAAATTATATACTCAATTCGCTCTTTACGCATATTATACCTGTGTTTTCTAAAAGTTAGCACCACAATTATCCTATTGCAGCTTCAACACTGAAGTCCGCACCAACGACAACTACGTGGACTCTTATTGGAAGTCTAGTGAGTATCCTGACCTCAGTGAGGTTTATATGACACATCGTAGTTGTTTTTTTTTTTTTTTTTGTTATTGTCAAAGAAATAGTAAAAAAAAATATATAAATATAAAATCTATTCAAAATATTTGCATCATGTTTTGATATCATATAGCCTACTGCTAGACGTGTGTGGTCTAGATAACTTGAGTTTGTACATATTGAATGATCATATTAATACACCATGTCGCACCTTAAAATATAATTACGCCGGGTTTTATCCCTTGTTAAGCTAATATTTACCCTGTATGGTCAAAGCACTTTTGATCAAAGCTAAAGACATAACACCTGTGATCATAGACCATTTATAGACAAAACGTCTATGGTCAAAGCCCTTATGTTTAAATCACTAGAGGTCTAAGATTCGCATACCATCTCACAGATTACATTACAACTAAGATGTCATCCATAAATGACGTCACACTCGTAAGGGGGGGGGAGGGGGTCCGTAATTTTGTGACTGATGTGTGATGAGGGGAAGGGGGGGGGGGGTTCAGATGTTGCGACGTCACATTTTTGCATTATAAAATCGAAATGTTAGAAAACGAATTTTAGACGTTTTTTCGCGTTTTAGATAACTGTTTTAATAAATTGTAATAGTTTAGACAAGATTTTGGAAAAATATCGATGTTTTAAAGAAATTCAACTGCAATTTTGAGGGGGGTTGTAGGTTGAGGTGTGACGCCATTTTAGGTGGGGCGGGGTCTGGCTTTTTGTGACGACGTGTGACGGAGGGGAGGGGGGGGGAGGTAAAAATCGTCAAAAAAAGCGTGACTTCATTTATGGATGACAGATAAACGATAATCCGTATTAATTTCGAAGACATACGATATCAATGAGGATCTATTTGTTTTCCCAAGGCGATCATTATGAAACCGGAACCGGATACAACCCAGGCGGCGACACTTCCGGTAAACAGGCGCTAAACGGAGGGTTTAAGCGTGTAGCGTTGCCAGCGGCGCCACCACGTGGGTACCAGTTCTAAAAGAGAGCCACGCCCCTGGTGCTGTCTGGACATTTACCGTGTCAACCGTGACAGAAGTTTATATGTCTCCAGTACCTGATTTAATGGAAAACCTTCCCTTTTTTGCATCAATCTCAAAACTTCAACTATGATTTTTCCAAATTTACTCTGTTTCGTTCATTGTGTACAATCATGTATTATGTGTATAAAATCATAAACCATTTGTATTAAGTGACGTTGGATTATATTTCAGAAACCTATTAAAAATTACCAACGCAAATTACATAAGTAAATTAACAAATTACAAATGTTATATGCCCCAGCTTTATTATCATTATGTACAAGTTGTTTTACATTTGGAAGCATAATATTGCATATCATAAATATCAACGTCACTTATCATTGAAACAAAATTTACTGTAAACAAAAGCAAACATTTTCCTAAACGAACTCAAACTACTGAGTGATAAAACAATATTTGTATTTTAAATTAACAAAAAATGTATCAAACTATTTGCTAATTAAAAGTATTAATGTTTACATTGGTTTTGTATTGAATGTGAACATCTTATATCATTTACAAATAAAAAATAACAACCAAGAGCTGGTAAAATGTAGATTTACCTTGGTAGGCCTCTGTGTCGATGGCTGTCAACGCGAATGTATTTACAACATGTTTACCCTTGTAGATTCTAAACTACGTTTAGAAACATAAAAGGGCGGGGGGGTGGCACTCAACTAAAATATTTGTATTGCCGTGTGCGTTAAGGGCAAAGTTTGAAATTCTGCATTCTATAGAATGTTTGAAATGGGCCGTCAAAGTACCAAATAGTCGTAAATGCCAAAGTATTTTATGCTGTACCAAACTACACACCAAAAAAAAAATTACAATCTGTAAAACAAGCTTATGCGTTTATTCCCACCATCAAAGAAAGAGTATTATTTTAAACGCGGAAATTCGACAACGTGCATAGAAAATATAGAGTGCCGCCTAGATCTTTGTTAGATAGCAAAAACTTTTAGTAGAATTTAACCAAAAAGGAAATCTAGACCACACAAGATAGAACAAAGATATTCACTTGTTAAAGTTTTTTAGTTAGTGTAATCTTCATGTTGTAATAGCGTATATCAATCTCATAAGACAATTTGAAAGCATAAAACTACCTCGAACCCCCTCAATATTTAGGATTTTATCGTCGTGCTATAATTTTATTAGCAAAATATCTAAAAAAAAATTCTTTTTTTTTCAAAAGTAGAAAACTGTGACAACTGCGGTTAATCACGTGATGAACGTAAATACCAAGCTTCAAAGCAAGGAATAATCCCGATACACAGCCTTGACTGTCATTAGATCAATAAAATACAATCAACAACAGGAGAAAATTAAGCTCAGTGGCATATATTACACGAAATATTTCAATCTACATTGAGGAATAAAATTTAATTGAAAATAAGACATCGAAGCAAAGCAGAGTTAAACTTTCTTTCGGTATTTTTTTATTTTTTTTTAGAGCATCGCATTTTCTAATACGTGGCGTCGATGGTTAATGTTTTTATGAATATGACAGAAAAAGTGTCTCTTATAATTATAATACACTTAACTGGTTTTTTGAAATGAAGGCAGAGCTATCATACTTTCCACCTTTTCGAATTTTTAGCACGAAAATAAAATGTATGTAAAATTTCTAAAGAAAATGTCACAGTCAAAAGGTCTGTTAATATATTGATACCGATGTATGAGTCTGTATATATTGATATATATATATATATATATATATATATATATATATATATATATATATATATATATATATATATATATATATATATAAGGCCTATATATAATTTGGAAGAAATATGTATGGAGCTAAAAACGCTTTTCATTTATTATTGTAGCAAACAAAGTGATGCATATTTGCTCATTTTTTCTCGTTATTATAATTTTTATAAACTCAATTCTATTTGACTGTATTAATTAATAAATAATAACCAAATGAATAATAACATTTACATATTCTAAATATCTTTATCCACGTGACAATTGATGGTAGTAAAAACCACAGGAACTATTGAAACATGAATAAAGTTTGTTAAAATAAAATAATAATCTTAATAAAAAATACATTTTTATTTGCAAAAGAAAAAAAATGACCAATATAAAAACGAAAAATACTAAATCAACCAATACTCAAACTACGAAATTACACATCATTTAACATATGTGTGTTGTATAAAAAGTTGTATTAAAATAATTAAGCAAATTATAGCTTTTTGAAAATAAAAATAAAAGCAATTAAATAGCAATGAATATATATATATATATATATATATATATATATATATATATATATATATATATATATATATATATATATATATATATATATATATATATATATATTTATTTTTATAATCGATATACATGTTTCCTAAAATTTTTAGCGCAATTTCCATACTGGAATTGCGATTATTAATTCGTCGTATCTGGATGTGTGTCCGCAGCTTTACCGCATTTTAAGTCGTATCTCCTCCTCAACGAAGCAATATCGAGGACTAGTTCCAAAAGCAAATATGTTAAGCAAGTTCCGAGGATGATTGTGGGTCAAAAAAAATCCCGGAATTCCTTCCTGGATTTCCCGGAAAAGCCAAAAAACCTCCAAAAAAATGCAGTTTTTGGCCCATATCTCGGCAACCAGACCACTTAGTGACTTGAAACATTTAATAATCAATTCCTGCCATAATTTAGAACAATATTGCCGAAGAAAGTTTTCATAAATATCCTTTCGTTGGGTCACAAAATTTTTTAAAAAATTACATTATACATAATACACTACAGTACTATATAGCAATATAGAGGGCGCGACAACTAAATACCCCCTACACGTCTGCAAATTTTTTAAAATCTCGTTAATAAATATTTTTTCTATTTTGTTTTGAATTATTAAAAATACTTGTGTTGCATTATTTATTTGCTGAATATATGATTTATCTCGATTTAAAATTGTTATGGATAACATAAGGAAATTGCGCTTAAATAGTCACTAGACTTTTTATTAACTTGTTTTTTTAACTGTTCTTCTTTTCATTGCACTAAAACAAAAACTATCATGGACAAAAAGGTTTTAAAAACATTAAAACCTTTTTGTCCATGATAATTTTTGTTTTAATGCTCATTGAATTCCTTTGCCTGCATACTTACTCTCGTGACCAGTTTTAAGTGAACATAAACAGTTTTTGTGACAGGATCAGTTGCGTAGCCAGGAATTGGTCATGGTAGGTGTTCAAATATTTTTCCATGTGTACAAAGTCATATATATATATATATATATATATATATATATATATATATATATATATATATATATATATATATAGGGGTGTGAGTCCATGGGAAGGGTTATAACCCCCCCCCCAACCCCCCCCCCCCTTGCCTATGCCTACGCCACTGGACAGGATACATCGCAAAGATAAAGAAAGCTTGGTCTATCCAGCACATCTTGCTTGTGAATAAAATGACTAGTGAATTATAGTCAACTTTTTGCCACGCATGAGTTTGGTAATTTTGTTTAGCTATTTAATATTTTTCCGTTCTTTCTTTTTCTTTTGCCAGCTAACATAACTACTAGGTTTGAAATGTTTTATGTTAGCTTTGAGCATTGAACTGGCTTTTGCCGATGAAAAGTACAACTAACACAAAGTGTTCTTTTCCGATATTCGAAGCTGTATTTGTAAAGTGGATCGATACTCTAGAAACATAACCCGCCTGAAACGAAAGAAATGCTTTGAGGACTTTGAGTTGAAAAGTTTTAACATGGAAATTCCCAAACCCTTCAATATAATTAGCGTCGTGAAGTTTCGAGGTCTTATAAATGATTCAAAGGTTGTTCTGTCATAGTGCAAATAATCACTACTTGATCTTATTATGGTCTGTGGTCTAGCTGTGCTCAAAGGGTTGCCTATCTGTGGTCTAGCTGTGGTCAAAGGGTTGTCTCTCTGTGGTCTAGCTGTGGTCCAAGGGTTGTCTATCTGAGGTCTAGCTGTGGTCAAAGTTTTGTCTATCTGAAGTCTAGCTGTGGTCAAAGGGTTGTCTATCTGTGGTCTAGCTGTGGTCAAAGGGTTGTCCATCTGTGGTCTAACTGTGGTCTAAAAGGTGGTCTAACTGTGGGTTATAGGTATGTGGTGGTTTAGCTTTTTATTAATCGTGCAAAAAAAAAACACAACAACAACAGATTTTCACAAATCTTGACGTTTTAAACCTCCCTGATTCGGTTAACGTGAGTACTACTTCAGATAGCTAAATGAAATTTCACATGTAAGTAAAACAATCTAATTTTCTGCTTTCTGGCAAATTTGAGTTATTTCCGTTTGACCGGAAATAGTAATTTACATTATTTCCGATTTCTCAAAAAACGCATATGAATTTATAAAATACTAATAATATTCCACACTATTATACACAGATTGCTTGGCGTTCACTTGGTGTGCAATTCTTTTTTTCTACGAGATTCAAGTCTATTCTTAAAAGTTTAAGTAATTAAAACTGGATAAAAAATCGTGTCTATATCCCGAGTTGCCATCCCCCGTAGTGTTATATATCATGTAAAGATCACTCCCAGTGTATTTGTTTTTTGCTTTGTTTTTTACATACTACTACACCTCTCATAGGGTTTTATGAAACTCTACTTTGATAAGAAAGCTCTTGGGAAGGTTTGCGCAAAAAAAAAAAGAATAATAATAACAATATTCGGAAAGGAAGCGACCAGTTAGGGACACGGTGGCACACGCAGAGGCGTAGCGACCATTTCCGGCGCCCGGGGACAAACTTTCAATTTACAATTTGCAACCCCCCCCCCCCCCTCAAACTTTCGATTTGATCTCCCCGTCAAACTTTCGATTTGCACCCCCCCCCCCCCCTTATATATTTTTTATATTTATAATACGAAAATGCAGCTAAAATGAAATTTTAATTTGTTTTTCCAACGGCGCCCGGGAACATATGTACCCCATCGCCCTCCCCCCCCCACGCTACGCCT